GGAAGAGAGGGAGGAGGGGGGGAGAGAGAGAGAGAGGAAGGAGAGAAGGAGGGATCCGGAAGAGGGTGGAGAAGGTGGGCACCGGTGTTGAATTTCCTTTTTAAGTGCATATATCCTCTCTCTCTTCCTTTTCATCTCTTTTCTCTTTCCTTCTCTCTACAGTTCTCTCTCTCTCTCCCTTTTCTCCTCACCCAATCCTCCTCTCCATTTCTCTTCTCTCTCTTCATCCCATTCTATCTTTGTAAATCTCCTTTCTCTCTTTCTCCACATGTCTCCCTCTCTCTTCTATCTTTTCCGTCTCCCTCCTCTTTCTCTCTTCTTCCCTCTCTCTCTCTCTTTATGGATTTGTTAAAGTGGTGGGCCAGGTGAGGAGGAGGAAGAGGAAGAAGGAGAAAAGGGAGGATGAGTAAAAGGGAGGAGAGGAGAGAGAGCAGATTGTCTGTGCGATGGGATCAAGTCAAAGTGGAGTTTGGAAATCTGTGAATGAGATTAAAGGTTAAAGAGGTTATTAGAGAAAGAGGATAGAGAGAGAGAGAGAGTGAGGGAGGGAGGGATAAAGAGAGAGGGAGGGAGGGGGAAGAGAGAGAGAGAAAGAGAGAGACAGGGGAAGAGGGAAGAGGGAGAAGAGAGGACACAGAACAGATGCTGAGGGAGATGAAAGATAGGAGAAAGTGCATGGAGAGAGAAGAGAGATGGAAAGAAGGGAAGGGAGAGAGAGAAAGAGAGAGAGAGAGGGAGAGAGAGAGCAACACACCTGATGGAGAGAACACATGAAGAACACATGGAGAGAGAGAAGAGAGATGGAAAGAAGACAAGGGAGATGAAAGAGAGGAGAGAGAGAGAGGTACACGATAGACAGAACACGTGGAGAGAGAAAGATGAGAGAGAGAGGAGAGAGAGAGAGGGGTACATGATAGACAGAACACGTGGAGAGAGAAAGATGAGAGAGAGAGGAGAGAGAGAGGGGTACATGATAGACAGAACACATGGAGAGAGAAAGATGAGAGAGAGAGGAGAGAGAGAGAGGGGTACATGATAGACAGAACACATGGAGAGAAAAAGATGAGAGAGAGAGAGAAGGGAAGGGAGAGATGAAAGAAAGGAGAGAGACAGAGAGAGGAGGCACCTGATGGACAGAACACATGGAGAGAGAGAAAAGACAGGAGGAGAGCACAGAGAGGAAGAGAGGGAAAAGGGAGGCACTGCTTGCAGGGGTTTTTTTTTTTTTTTTTTGTCATTTTACACTATGCTTTAAAAAGTCGGGCTCAGAATTTGATATCAACAAATCCTTCAGGTACACAACTGTAAAGAATCTATGAAGAAATGAAATAAAAAAACATGTGTATGTGAAGATGAAGTCTACAGTGTAAAGTCTAAAGTGTGCAGTGTGAAGTGTGAGTGACCTCTGAGTGAAGACGGACTGTGGCAGATGTGAAAGAGGATTGGACTAAGACCTGAGAATCCTCCTGACACCAGCAACTCAGACCTCGACTACAACTGGACTAAACCTGAACTAAACCCGATGGCTCATTCCACACCAAATCTCCAAATGCCCCCGCCCGAACATCTCAGATTTGACTGAATAAATTCTAGGAGGTTCACACACTTTCCAACAGGAAAAGTCCCAAATTTTAGCTCCCAACTCCTTATAGTTTTGTCATTAAAAAATATTTTGTCAACTCCCCCCTGACCTGTTTTGAACAGAGTTTTCCAAGGAGCCGTGTTCATATTGCTGTATCTAAAAAAATATTTAAAGTAGGTCCTTCAAATTTTCAAGGGTTAAAATATGACAAATGTACTTGTAGAATCTGGACTTTTACACATGTGCTTTTGATTTATCACAGATTTCTGGAGGCTTGAATTTGCTCAAAAATTCTCTTCTTCAAATATGAGTGCGTCTTTGAAGGACTGTGGAAAGTGCAATTTCAAAGACAGAGGTTTGATATTGAACATAAACCTTCCCACACACACTGTGCCTCTGTGATGAACGCTCTACAAGATATTAAGTGTTAAACATGGAAAAAAATACAACTGATGTCATCTTTACCATGTTATATCAAAAAAATGACAGCACCCACCAACATCAAATGGACTGTTTTAGAAAAGACTAGATGTCTGTATGTCTTTAACGTATCCAACTTTTGTGATGGTGTTCTGCCTTATTTTTGCAAAATGTTGCAAAATATTTTAGAGACAATTTAATTTGAATCACTTAAACTGACACACATTAGACAGACTTCCTGTCTTTGGTCTGAGGAAGCAGCTGTGAACAAAGAGTGCATTCATGTTTTTAATTAATCAAATTATTACCTCCGCCAAGGAGGTTATGTTTTTGCCGGCGTTTGTCTGTTTGTTTGTTTGTTTGTTTGTTTGTTTGTCTGTTAGCAACATAACTCAAAAAGTTATGGACCGATTTTGATGAAATTTTCAGGATTTGTTGGAAATGTGAAAAGGAAGAACTGATTTCATTTTGGGGGTGATCCGGGAGAAATCCTGGATTCTGGATCACTTTGAAATTTTAGTTAACATTGTGGTAAATGGGGCCAAAAATTTTGTTTCTCAATATCTCGGTTAATTATTGACCAAACCCCATGAAATTTGACTCAGGGATGGACAATGGGATCCTCTTTCATATTCCAAAGGCTGATCCGGATCTGATCCAGAAGAATGATTTTATCGCAATTTATATAAAAAATGGAGGTAGTCCTTGGCAGAGGTCTGCGCTCTCTGAGTGCTTTTCTAGTTTTTAAAATGACATCGACCTAAAGCAGATATATACATAAAGAAGAAAACAAACTGATCAGGTGGAGGCATTCGGAGATTTGGAGTGGAATGATCCTGATGTAAACCTGGACTAGACCTGGACTTAACCTGAACTAAACCTGATGTAAACCTGAACTAAACCTGGACTAAGACTTGAACTAAGACGTGAACTAAGACGTGGACTAAGACGTGGACTAAGACGTGGACAAAGACGTGGACTAAGACGTGGACTAAGACGTGGACTAAGACGTGGACTAAGACCTGGACTAAACCCTGACTAAAATCTGGACTAGACCTGGACTAAACAAAGATCTGGATGAGCTCTAGGATAAATCTGGATTGGTATCTAGACTAAGACCTGGACTAGACCTGGACTAAACCCGAACTAAGATCTGGACTAAACCTGGACTAAACCCGAACTAAACCCAAACTAAGATCTGGACTAAACCTGGACTAAACCCGAACTAAGATCTGGACTAAACCTGGACTAAACCCAAACTAAGATCTGGACTAAACCTGGACTAAACCCGAACTAAGATCTGGACTAAACCTGGCCTAGACCTTACCTGAGCCCTAAGAACCGTTCCAGTGTGAATAAAGCCATGTTTAGACCTGATTCAGTCCAGACTGAGTCCCGAGTTGGTCCTTGTGGTTCTTGGTGTGAGATCTGAATGTGTGAGCGTGGGATTTGAACCTGTGACCCTGCGGTGAGAGGGCGGCCGCACTCAGCTCGTCATGAATCACAGTTTGAGGTCAGACTGCAGGGGTGAGACGGAGGAAGGATGTGGTGAAGGAGGATTTCTGAAAACATGAAATTATAAAGTTATAACTCAGAGCTGGGACCACAGAGGAGACAAAGAGTTTAAGCCTGTTTACATCTCCAACGCTCCAACGCTCTGTCCCACCTTGTGATGTCATGAAGTGGGAGTTTTCAGGAAGGCCGGGGGTCAGGATTGTGGAGATGCAAACCCGCTCACAGTAAGGATGTTTCTCAGTACAATGAAAAACACCAAAATGAACACACACAAAAAAAAAAAAGAGGGAAAGAGAGAGAGGACATAGACGGACCAGGGAGAGAAAAGAAAGATAAAGGAGGTATTTGATGGACAGAACATATGGAGGAAGAGAGAGAGAAAGATAATGGGAGAGGAAAGAGAGAGAGGAGACACTTGATGGACAGACTACATGGAGGAAGAGAGAGAAAGAGAGAATGGGAGAAGAGAGAGAGAGGGGAGGCACCTGATGGACAGACTACACGGAGAGAAAGAGAAAGAAAGAGAGGGAGAGACAGAAAGATAAGACAATGGGAGAGGAAAGAGAAAGAGGGGTGGTATTTGATGGACAGAAAGAGAGAGAGAGAGAGAGAAGAGTGGGGGAAGAGAGAGAGGAGAAAGGGGGAGCGAGAGAGTGAAGAGGAGAGAAAGCCAAAACTCAGAGGAGCAAGGAGGCACTACAGAGAGAGAGAGAATGGGAGAGGAACGAGAGAGGAAGGCATTTGATGGACAGACTACATGGAGAGAGAAAGAGAGAGAGAGTGAAGAGAGAGGAGAAGGGGGGATGGAAGAAGAGGGAAAGAGAAAAAAAGACAGAGAAGGCACTAGATAGAGAGAGGAGCCATCTAATGGAGAGAACACACAAAACGAGAGAAGAGAGGGTGAAGAGCAAGGGGAGGGAGAGAAAGGAGGAGAGAGCAAGAGAGGGAAGGAGAGGGAAAGAGAAAGAAAGTCAGGAAAGAGGAGGGACTACATGGAGAAAGAGATAGTTTAGCCAGTTTTCTCTGTAAATACTTGAGTAAAACATTTGCAGTAGAAGCGATATCAGAAATTTTTGTAGTAATAGTAATACTAGTAGTAGGATAAGTAGTAGTAGTAGTAGTAGTAGTAGTAGTAGTAGTAGTAGTAGTAGTAGTAGTAGTAGTATTTAAGTAAGTAAGAAGATTGAAGATCATTCAAGTTTGTTGTCATTTGTTATTGTCAGACCCAGATCCGCTTTGTCAAAATGATTCATAAAAGCAGAAAAATTCACGAGAGACAAAAACTGTCAACTTTTAGATAAATAAAATAAAACCACGAGGGAACACAACAGAATACATTTCAGTCTGACTTCACCCAAGTTATTGATAAAAACGAAAAAGTCACTGTGACCTGGCAACCCTAACAATCCCGCCGAATGCTCAATGTTCAATTTAAATCCACAATTCTGAAGCAATTTATGATTTATGAGCACTGGGGAAGAAAAGGTCACGCTGACACAAAAGCGGTTAGGAAGAAGTTTTATAGCTGACAAGAAAAATATGAAACGGAATATTTCTATAGCTTGTCTCCTCCTCTCGGTAAGGAGGTTGTGGGTTCAATTCCTGAGCTCTTTCTACATAATTATCCCACAAACAAAAAAAACACTGTACAAGAAATGCATTTTACATATTAAAGGCACGTTAAGTAACTTTTTCAGGCGAATTGCTCGGCATCTGCTCGTCTCCATGGCGATGATATTGCCGTTACGCTCTATGGCTTAGATCTGTGGAGAGGCGAGCCCAGAAAGAATGCATGTTTTTACGGACTTTTTAGCAATAAATGAAAATAAAGTTAGATAAGTTTAATGCCATAACGCTGAACATTCCAGGCAAAGGAATAACATCTCCATGGCGACAAGCAGGTAATGTACCTCCCACCAGAAAAGTGACATAGTTGAACTTTAAATAATCTTCTTCTGCGTACAAATATACAAAAATAACTTAACAATTCTGTCCATTTGATCTTGTTGCATTTATTCATTCATTTTTATTATAATTTTTTTTTTTTAACTTAAGCAGCATCACGAGAAGCTCAGGTGGTTTTAAAATTAACTAAAAGAGTCTCAAATGTAAAGTGCACTCTTTGGTCCAGGCTCTGCTCACTGGGGTCAAAGGTCAAGGGTCACGTGCCGCTGTCGTCACTGTCCCACTGCTCTCCCCTGGACTCAAGCCCTGGTCTAACCCCGGGATCTGGTCCGGACACGAGATGGGGACTGGTGCTGGGATGTGGTCTAGTCTCTGGGTCCAGTCTGGTCTCTGGACGTGGTGTGGTCCCAGGATCTGGTCTGGTCTCTGGGGCTAGTCCGGTCTCTGGGTCTGGTCCGGTCTCTGGATCTGGGCCGGTCTCTGGATCTGATTCGGTCTCTGGGTCTGGTCCGGTCTCTGGGTCTGGTCCGGTCTCTGGGTCTGATCCGGTCTCTGGGTCTGGTCCGGTCGCTAAGTTGTGGAAGCTCCTCAAAAGGTGGGACTGGTTTATGAGACACTCCTTCAGTTTGTCCTCGGACAGAGTTAGACGCTCCTCCAGAACTGACACCGTCTGTGAGAGAAAAAAGGTTTTATTATCAGAATGAGTTTATGGAAGTTTAAAGGCCGCCATACACTACAGGAGTATTTGCCCGATTTTGGCTGCGATTTGCTTTTTCCCAAGTTCGAGGAGGTGTGACTCAACTTGTGTCTTCGTATGCGATTTTGTAGCTGCTGCTCTGTCAGATCGTAACCACCAAACATCAGCAACGCTACGGCAACAACCCATAAAACAGCGTCAGGGGCAGAGGAGTGACGGACACAGACGCAACATAAAAACTCAGGAAATAGTGAAAATAATTATTACTCGCCTCTCGTAAAATTGTAAATATAAACTACAGCATCTCATCCACATTATCTATAAAAATTGTCTTCCGCAAATAATGACATCCAGTCCACAAACCTGTGCAAATCCATGCAGATTAGCCATAGTGACTCTCCTTCCCGTGTACGTTATCGCCAATCTTTTATGCTTTAAAAATTATGTATCGGAAGTATTGCACCACATTTCACAAATAATAATAACACAGTTTTGTCTTGTATCTAAACTAGAAGTACAGTGCTCTGATCTTTTGAACACTTAAGAGTCTCATAGCGAGTGGTTTTACTGTAGACAGGAAACAGATGACATGATCACCCTCACAACTTTATAGCCTGTGGTCAGCAGACATATCCCGCTGAAGTCTTTGCGATCGGAGATTTTAAGTCTCATCAGATTCTCCTCGTGTCTGTGGTGTACGCTTTTAGTCGCAAGTTTAAAAATCGTTTAAGACCAAAATATCCTGTAGTGTGTGGCAGCCTTAAAGCTACCATCTAGATCAGGGGTCTCAAACTTTTTCTCCCCGGTGAACTACTAGTTTTAGTGGTCACAAGAAATGGAGTATATTCAAGTGCCACGATGAGACTTAAATGAGGTACAGTTACACGCCTATAAAACATAAAATATTATCCATAGTAATGCACAAAGTTGGCCATCAAAATGATACATGTACAATGGTAACAGATATTTAATTATTTTTTTATTATTCAGGACAATACATGCAATTCTGAAATCCCTTGATGAGCTACTTGGAAGGCCGAGCGACAGGTTGGAGACCCCTGATCTAGATGCTGTCTACGTTACTGCTGTTTGCCAGTGTGACAGTACAAGACCAGAGAGCACAGGTGAGTTTGAACAAAGGCCAGGTGAGGGGAGGGGTCAGGTCACACATCTGCCATCTATGTACTGATAAAATAAATAAATAAATAAATAAATGTACAGATGGTAACTTTAAAACTAGTTTTGGTATTGTGACACCTCAGAATATAGTTATGACTTAACACTTCTCACTAAAACATAGTTAACATAGATTTTACAAAAAATCTAGTTTTTTATATTTTTTTTTGGTGAAGTTTATCATTTTACTTCCTGTGCAGATTGAGGTAATTCTGTAACTGTTATCTAGCAACCATGGTGTTAAAGGGATAGTTCGGGTTTTTTGATATGAATCTGTATGGCATCCCCGTCTGCAGTGTCGTACATCCACACTGACTTACCCCCGACAGTGTCCGGTGAGCCGAGATCCTGGCTGGTTTTAGTGCTGACAAAAGTAGTCCGGCAAGATGGCTGGGGTCATTAAAATAAAACGTTTTTTTCTTCTCAAAACAATATGTGTTCAAAAGAGTGATACATTTTCATCACAAAACCTTCGTCCTCAAAAAAGTCAGACCTCATAATCGCTTGGCACTATTTTCTGTCTCACGTCGCGGGGGTCTGAACACGTAAACACGGCCGAACAACTGAAGAAAGTGTGTGGCTGTCACCTGGCGGCAGCGCGTAGTGATACGAACGGAGAGAAAATAGTGCCAAGCGATTATGAGGTCTGACTTTTTTGAGGACAAAGGTTTTGTGATGCAAATGTATCACTCTTTTGAACACATACTGTTTTGAGAAGAAAAACGCTTTATTTTAATGTCCCAGGCCAACTTGAAGGGACTACTTTCGTCAGCACCAAAACTGGCCAGGATCTTTGCTCACCGGACGCTGTCGGGGGTAAGTCAGTGTGGATGTACGACACTGCTCACGGGGATGTCATACAGCTTCATGTCAACAAACCTGAACTATCCCTTTAACGAGAGCCAAAACCTGTCTAAATTACATTGATAAAAACAAACGACCACATCTTTATTTTGCTAAATAAAGGTGCACAGTGTAACATTTCACCATTTCACACCTGCTTGTCTCCATGAAAATGTTATTGCTTTGTCTAGAATGTTCCCCAGTACAGACCTATCTGTCACAAACAGGACAAGCAGGTGACACCACTATGCTACATTCCAATTCAGATCTGTGGAGAGTCGCTCCTATTCACAGAAGGAATTATTGTATGTTTCTTGCACCAGAACATTTGTACAATTCATCTTTAAACAATGTTAAAACTGTCAGAAAAATGCTGTTTTTGTTTGTAAATAGTCTCAGCATTTTGGATGGTGTTTTTTGTGTTGGTGACATACAGAAGACAGAGGGGATTCTGTTTTAGAACTCAGCACTACTTCCTGTATTTTTGTACTTTTCTTATCAAATTTTTCCACTTGTAAATGTAAAACTAAGATAAATATTGACCACATGTGCTATCCCACTATCTCACTGAACCAAGTCCGAATTAGAAAAACTTGAAAACCTGTCATATGCCCTGTAGTCTTACCTGCGTGAGTATATCCAGCTGTTTGACGATGTGTTTGAGTGTGGATGTGAGAGCGTCCGGATGCCCTGACAGCACGTCAAGGCGATGGGTCTCCACTTCCTCTTCCGCTCCTCTCTGATTGGCTATTGCTGCTGCTGACTCCACTCTCCCGCTAGCTCCGCCCCCGCTCCATCCGTTAGCTTTAACCTTGGAACGGTGTGACTTTGAAGGCTGATTTAGGAGCTGTAAACAAAGAGAGAGGGGTTAAGCTGGAACAAAATCAAGAAAAACAGCAAATACTGGTTCTGTAAAAAAAAAAAAAAAAAACAACCCTAGATCAGTTGGTTACAGTGGATGTTCCAGAGTATTCTAAAAGGCATGCAGCATCCTCTAAATTCAGAGTTTCAGCTGCTTCCATCTAGTCAGAGGCTTTTAGTCTCAACATCTAGAACAACTAGAACAAATCCTTTTAATGGAGCTTCGTTCTGGGCTCAATAAATTGTAATTATCGATTAATATTTATTGTGATTTTTAGCCAAGCGTGATGAATGAATTATTTAATGAACAGAAACCATTCTGTACTTGTGTAATTGTGTTTTTATATGTGTTTATTGTGTATATTCTGGATGAAATGTGAAATGCAGGACAAGCCTCTCAAATCTGCAAAACAAATTTACCTACAGGTACGAATAAAGGAAACTAATCTAACCTGTACACTTACAAGCAAATAAAAGGTCATATATTACCCAATAATGACTCTTGTGAGCTTTAATCCATGTTATAATGTTGATGACTGAGTAATCCTGGCTTATTAGTCTGTCTACATCTCCAAAGACCTGTTCCATCTTGTGATGTCATGAATGATGAATGACAATGAATAAATGAATAGCAGAATGAAACACATATTATTTTTGTATCTATAATGAGTCATAGAGTTTATTTATTCAACCCTCTATGGCTCACATTTCATACAGATACATAACAAAAAAAAATCCACTCTAGTACTTAGAAAAAGTACCCATAAAAAATTGAACCCCAAAAATATGATTCCAGCTTTCATATATTGACCAATTCATAGATGCATAGTTTTGATAACAGGCCATTCTAGTATGACAGATAGGCCCATTATTAACAACAAAAGTAATAACTAAATTGCAGCAGAGTAAAGGAATTTATGCAATATTTCCTGGGAGAGAACCTCCAAATTCCCAATATGTTTAGGAGACCTTTTTTGCCATTTCCATGTGGACAGGCAGGTGACTTCGCCAAACCATGTGTTTGGTTTATTTGGTCATAAAAACATTGAATAAATGAAAGAGAGATCAGTGTATAATAACATTAACAGGCTCTCTCTCTTGCACTCTTCCCGGTCTCTTCTTCTCCCTTTTTTTCTCCCTTCTCCCTCTCTCTCCCTCTCTTCTCTCCTCTCCTCTCCCTCCCTTTCTCTCTCCCTCTCTCTGTCTGTCTGTCTCTCTCCCCCTGCAGCTGTTGTGGTCAGCCTCGTCCGCCCACAGAGGAGCTCAGACTTCCTGCCTCAGAGGAGCAGAGGACACATAAAAGCAGAGCTTCCTGACCACACACACACATCCATACACTGTGTGTGTGTGTGTGTGTGTATGTATGTGTGTACGCACATACATAGTCCAGAGACCAAAACCAAGCACCACAATCCACAGACCAGAGAGTAAAGGGCAGCTCCAGGGCACTAGTATTTTCACCCAACTCCAGTTTAACACTAGTTCATACCACAATTACAAAACAATATGTTTTTAATAGATGATGGGCTTTTTTTCTGTATTTTCAATTGCATAAGTCACAATATTACATTTTAGAGATATAATTAGCTGAAAAGCACCTTGCATTTAAATGTCTGCTATCAACCGATACCAGTCCAGAGACTGAAAACAGCATTGATTTCATTTAAGCAGAAATAAAATAAGACCAAACTGATCCAAATGTGTATTGTAGGCATTTATTTATCTCTCAAGTAACTGAACAACATTGTGTAAATAATAATTCAAACATGATGAGACTTTCTGTGCAAACAACGACCAGTACATATTCTTATTACAACTATTAATATGTCTGAGCAGGATATTGGCTGAATATCTCCTGGTTAGAAATACAGTACCAGTTCCAATATATTTGGAAGCTGATATCCAATCCAGCTTTTTTTCATAGTATTGGCACCGATATCCAATACCAGTATCGTATCGTTGCATCCCTAGTCTCCAGTTCACTGTTTTGTGTTTTATTAATCTGTGGCTGTGGGTTACCGTTTGAATATTTCAAGTGCAGAGTTGTCCTCAAACAAACTTGACAGGTTAATCGTGATGGTCCTCCACATTATAAACCAACACAAATAGTTTTAGATTATATAAATCTAAAACTATTTGTGTAATTTTATATAATGTGCACTTGTTGAAGAAAGTGAACACAACACTTTGTCCAAAGCTGTGGACAAAACAAGGTCAGCGCGGCCTCTTACACAACTCATTTCATAATCTATTTTAAAGCTCTTTTCTTTCATCTAAAGTTCAGGTGCGCTGTTAGCCGCTAGCGCTAATTAGCTCGTGTGTGCTCTCTCTTGTTGTGGTCGATGGCTTTTGAGACGCCCACTGGAGCTAAAAATGGCGCTAACGTTAGCAGTTCAAAGCTAACGGGTCTGAAAGTGTTTCGAGTGTTAGCCGTCGCCCCGGGAAACGCCATTGTGCAGTAAAGTGGTTTGTTTTGGTGCGATTGTTTGGCGCTTTTTAAAGAGAAGCGCAGGATTAAGCCGAGGAGAGAGTCATGACCAGAGATGATAAAGAGCACAGGGAATCCCCGAAGGTTTAATCGACCACGAATTAGCAATGTTTATTAAACGGGATTTTCCATACGCTTTGATGTAAACAAAACAAAAAACACCACAAGAACTAATACAACAACCTATTGTCTAATCTCACAATGATAAAAGGGAAATTCCATAAAGTAGCTCGACAGGCGTGGAAGAAGTAGCCTACTCAAGTAAATGTACAGATAGCCTCAAGTAAAAGTATCACATCAAATTTAAGGAGTAAAAAGTATTTAAGTAAAAATATTTTGCACAGTTTTTCACAGTTTTTCAACAGAAACAATAGAATGTGTATTATTATCGTTGTTGTTGTCATATTTTTATTATCATTTTTATGTTGATTTTTTTTCTAGCTGTTTTTGTAAGTATATTTTTGAAAAAAACAAACCCCTCAGGTTTTTCAGAAGGTCTCACACAATAATCAAAAAATATATATATACTTTTACTTTTCTTTGCTGTTCATATCTTCTCTTAAATGTAGCAAAGTAAAAGTAAAATACCATACCTATATAGCTCTGTGGAGGAGCGATCCCACTATGAATGAATGTAACTAAGGCAGAGGTCATCGGCTGGGGTTTGTGTGGGTTAAATGCATGAAAAGCAGGAAGCTATTAACAAGGAATTACACCTGACCAGGCAAGGAAATGACATTAAGAAAGAGAAGGAGAGGAAAGAGAAAGAGAAAGAGAAGGAGAGATGTAAGTCAGGAATAAACCATGTCTAAATCAGGACTAAATTAGGACTAGGAAATTACATTTACAAGGAAAGGGAGAGGTTAAAGGGAGAGAGAAAGAGAGAAGCCTAGCCTAGATCTAGGCTATGTTTACACATAGTAGGGAATGTTGAGAAACAAATATTTCCCTATTGCACATAGCATTGTTTTCAAAAAAAGTTTTTGTTTACATCAACCCACATAAATACGCCATCAAGTGCCATCATAACTATGCCAAGCCTCTGGGCTGCACCTGGATTACACTCAAACCTGTAGCATTTATTTCATTACATTTGTAAGTATTACTCAAAAATACCTTGAAAGCATGTATTACTGAGCGGGCTCGCCTCTCCACAGATATGTTAAAGAAGTGGCAAAATTGCTGATCTCTGAGCCTCATTGGTCTCTGGTCATGGATATGATACATCAGCTGTGTGTGCAAATGCAAACACATGACCAGAAGAAATGCGACTGCTGCTCTGAATGCTTCATGATCATCATCATAGCAAAAGGGAAACACTCTCAACTCTAGCCAAAGTTTTTAGAAAGATTCACTTTTAGAGGCGAATTTGCTGTTTGCGTCTAAAAGATGGGTGCAAACGAAGGAAAATGTCTCAACTTTTAAAAATACCAGAGTAAGTGTAAACAGGACCCTAAACCAGGTCTAAAAAACAGAACTAAATACTAGAGAAACAGGGAGAAGAGAGAAAAGGGGAAGGACAGAGAGAAAGAGAGAGGTTTAACCCAGAATTAAACTACGTCCATCTCAGGACTGCTGGTCTAATGAGTATTAACATCTAAACCAGGATTGCCCGGTTCTAACCAAGGACCTAACCCAAGACAAACCCAGAACTAAACCAGAACCAAAGTACCTCTGATGAATACTGGTCACCATAGACCAGGAACACCTCACACAAACCAAAACTAAACCAGGAATAAACCAGGACTAAATCAAGACTAAACCAAACCAGATTGCCCAAACATCAACATTTCTCAACCCAAACATAATCTTATTTGTATATCTTGTTAATTAACTGACTTATTTCCCTTCTAGTAAGAGTATATTTCGTGCAGGTCCTTGAAGCCTGGTGCAGCTGTAATCTCATTGTCGTGTATGAGTTTAGTGTTTAGTATTTGTCTGTGGGAAAGTTCATTAAAATGTGAATAATGCGGCTAAATCCAAGTAAGGGGCTTTAAAATGGGCTAATCCTGTTAATGACGCTAGCTAGCTCTCGATCTTCCTACAGATCAGTGCAATCAATGAGGTACAGGTCACTATGGAAACCTTTGTGGATAAAAACATTTGTCAAGTTAACATGCGGATACAACCTGCACATACAAGTTTGTCTCATTCACAGTATATGGACGGACCAGGCCTCATGTGAACCCTCAGAACCTCCAGAATTCCCTCCCTCCTCTAGACTGGTGCTGGTGCTGGAGTTTAGGTACTGACTATTCACTACAGTTGAGAGGCCTTTGATTTTTAATGTACTGAACAAACAGTAGAGTGGAGTTTTGCTGTGGTAAAGCTAACAACAACTGGCATGCACTTCCTGATTATCAGATAACGAAATGCGTTATTAGATGCAAACAGCACACAGTGGATTTATTTCAACCCCAGGAACTGCTTAAATACAAAATACTGTATCTGTACTGGGGCAAATGCATGGGGAAAACGGGAAAAACATCATAGACAGT